TCTGACCCCCCCCTCCAATTTAGCGTTCTCGCCTTCTCGGGTTTCCAGCGCTCCATGACAGCCCAGGAGGCCCCCCCCAAAATGGCCCCAGGATTGCGAGGCCGCCGCAAGCCACGCTTTTTTGGTGCTGGCCCACGGGGCGGCGTTCTCGTCGGCGCCCGCATGCAGCTCCAGCCTCAGGGTGCTCCTCCCTCGAGCACTTCGGGAGCTGGCCGCTGCCTGTACTGCGACGCGTCCGACACCTTGAAGAAGCTGCGCTGCGCCCGCGGTGGGGGCGAGGAGCAGCGGACGGTGCGCGCGAGTCGTGCGCGCCTGCGCGCGGTCGGAGACGGCGGCGTCTGCCGCTGCCGACCGCTTTCAGTATTTCGGGCCCGGTCTTGACCCGCGGAGGGCACTTAGGGGCTGCTGGCGAGCTCGCGGCAGCCGCTCGGCAGGAGCTAGACTGGCTGATCACCATCGCCGAGAGCATGAACTCCCACTGCGTCCCGCGCTGGGGTCGGGCGCCACAGGCCCACCCTACGGCAGCTCAGCTCGTCGCCCTGTCCAACGTGCCCAACGAGCTGCGTTTGTTCAGGGGCCAGCGCCCAGGGCCGATCCCGACGCTGGGCTGAGAGGGGGAACTGGTCAGCGCCGCCGCGACCTACGATGGCGAGGAGGTGCGCCCTGCCGAACCCTTCGAATTCGGCCGCCTGGGGCCAGCGCTTCCGCCGCAGGACGCTTGCGGCGCCGTGGGGGCTGCTGGCGCCGCGGAAGGCCGAGTCGGGCAGGCGCCCCTCGACCCGCGGCTGGTGCTGAAGGGCCTCCCCGAGATCGGGGGGCTGCCGCGCGCGCCCAAGGTTTACCTCGGACGACGAGGGGAAATGGGTGGAAATGACAGAACATTACCTGGACTTCTGCACGTCGACGCGAGCAGGCCCGTTGCTTCCCTTTGCGCACCAGGCATGAATAGTGACTGGCATTTGTTTTTCCCTCGCGCCCTTTATGGGCCCGCCCTCGTGCGAGCGGGGTGACTTGACTAGACTCGACGGGTGGGGGCTCATCGCGGGCAGCCTTGCCCAGCGCGGCATCCTGAGGCCGATCGAGTGCGCCGACGTCGCCGAAGCGCGCGGCCGCGCGATGCTGGGCGGCGCGCTCGGCCGGCGCAGGGGCGGCCGTCGCAGAGGCGAGGGCCTGCGGCGCCTCGCGGTGAACGTCGCCCCGCCCAGTGCGGTGCAGAAGACGGTCGAGGGGAACATGTCGCTCCTGCCTCGCAGTGGCAAGTGGAGGACAATAATCTTGCGTTGCGGCGAGGTGCTGCCGTGGGGCGCTGAGTGAGGAAGTCTCCAGCCTGAGCTTGAACTTCCCTTTTGAGGGAACTCTTGGAGAGTTTCTCTCTGTTATATTTATACACACCTCTTCCTATATTCTTGCAAGCCCGGGGGGGGGAACCCCTTCCCCCCACCCAAAACTGGACCCCTGGGATCTGGGGTTCTCGGGCTCACTTGGACCTCCTTGAAAAAAGGTCACCGGGCTTTCCGGGTCTCCACAAACGCCTTGCCAGCAGACCCAGAGCGATCCGAGGGGTCATCAGAAAGGCTCAAGGGAGACCCCAGACAGCACAAGAGCGCTCCAAGAGGAACTCCAATTGCGCCAGGACGGCCCAAAAGACCCCCAAGGCCCCCAAAAAGCTTTCCAAGGGGCCTTCAAAGCACACAAAACCGTCTCATTCCCTTCGTACAACCCACAATTTTAGCATATTCGGCTTTCGGAATTCATCAGCTTTCAAGACGGTTTCACAGCCCCCGAGATCGCCTCCAGACGCCCCAAAAGGCCCCCAAAAACGCTTCAAGACGGCCGAGCCAGGCCACACGATCGCCCACGAGAGCCCCAAGACAGCCCATAATGGAACCAAGGGGCTCCCCAAGGGCTCCCAGCACAGACCCAAAAGGGCCATGGGAGGTCCCCGGAAGTGCCCAAGATGAGTCCAAAGGGGGCTCCAGCGGGCCCAAGCTCCCCAAGACGGCCCAAGACGGCCCCAGGACGGCCCATGAAGGCGCCAAAACGGGCCACGAGGGCGCCGAAAACACCCCCACGACGTTTCCGAATGCCAACATAATGATCCCCAAGGCCCCCCAAAAAGCTTTCCAAGGGGCCTTGAAAACACAAAATTCGTCCCATTCCCTTCGTAAAACCTACAATTTTAGCATATTCGCCTTTCGGATTTCATCAGCTTTCAAGACGGTTTCAAAGCCCCCGAGATCGCCTCCAGACGCCCCAAAAGGCCCCCAAGAAAGCTTCAAGACGGCCGAGCCGGACCCCACGATCGCCCACGAGAGCCCCAAGACAGCCCACAATGGGACCAAGAGGCCCCCTAAGGGCTCCCAGCACAGACCCAAAAGGGCCATGAGAGGTCCCCGGAAGTCCCCAGGACGGCCCATGAAGGCGCCAAAACGGCCCACGAGGGCCCCGAAAACACCCCCACGATGTTTCCGAATGCCAACATAATGATCCCACAGGCCCC